GAGAAAAGACTCTAAGACAACAAAGAAAACTGAAGTTAGTTGGAGTTGCAAGTGTAGCTCAGGGGCACATTGACTGACTAGTATGTGGAAGGCTTTCAGTTGGATCCATAGCACGGGGGCTGGGGGGACTGGGGGATATTTTTTTAAAGGGAAAAAGACCCTGAAGAATGGCATATACATTTGTTGTACTAAGACACTGCTTGGTGAATCCAGGTGTTATGAATAATTATATAATGACAACAGGAATAAGCCCAAATTGCCTGACCAAAACAGGATTTATGGGCACTCAACTTGTAAGTCATAATATTCAGCTGCTTGGATCTCCAGTGAAAGTACAGAGTGCATGCCTTCTTTTTCTTCTAAAGATTTATTTTTGTTTTTAATTATGTGTATATGTATGTGTCTGCGTGTGGGTTATGTGTGTAGGTATGTGCACATGAGTGCAGGTGCCCTTAGAAGCCAGAGGCATTGGATGCCCTGGGGATGGAGTTATAGGCAGCTGTGAGCCTCCCAATGTGGGTGCTGGGGACCGAACTCTGGTCCTCTGGAAGAGCAGTGTGTGTTCTTAGCTGCTGAGTCATATCTCCAGCCCCAAGTCTTTTTTTATTTCACTTTTTTTTTTTTTTTTTTTTGGTTTTTTTGAGACAGGGTCTCCCTGTAGCCCCAGCTGTCCTGGAACTCACTATGTAGACCAGGCTGGCCTTGAACTCACAGAGATCTGCCTGCCTCTGCCTCCCGAGTACTGGGATTAAAGGTGTGCACCACCACGCCCAGCTGTTATTTTGCCTGAGTGGCTTTATTTATGCCTTTTGCCTTTTTGGTTTCGTTTTTGTTTTTTGAGACAGGATCTCCCCATTTAACCATGACTGGCCTGGAAGTTGTGATATAGACTTGACTGGCCTCAGACTTGCAGCTGATCCTCCTGTCACTGCCTCCTGAGTGCAGGAATTAAAGGCATGTACCATCATGGCTGGCCATAACTTTGCCTTTATTTGTTCATTTTACCAACATCTATTGAAAATACATTTCTGGGTGCTGAAGTTACAAACAGAAAAGACACTGTTCTCTAAGGTAAACACAGACAAAGAAACAATTCTAGTAGTTACACAATTTGAGCCCTGAACTCTCCATTAAGCACTAGACTCCTACTTGTCATTTCCAGTTAGTATGCAAACCAGAGTCAAAACAGAACTTAATTTTCCTCCAAATCTGCCTTCCTTCGGTTAGACTTTTCCATTCTCTCCTGTTGGTCTTCTAAGTAATGTCACTTAAACTACACTGCTTAAGGCAAAAATCAAGACAAGCACTGCCTTCATTAGTGTTTCCTTTCACCAAGCATTTTATCTTTTATACTTTGGGATTTGTGTGTGTGTGTGTGTGTGTGTGTGTGTGTGTGTGTTCATGTTATGTGTATACACATGAGTCCAGGCCTATGGAGACCAGAGGTTAACACTGGGTATCTTCTTCAATCGTTCTCCACTCTTATTTATTTTTTTGGTCTTTTTGAGACACGGTCTCCCTGTAGCCCCAGCTGTCCTGGAACTCACTATGTAGACCAGGCTGGCCTTGAACTCACAGAGATCCACCTGCCTCTGCCTCCCGATTGCTGGGATTAAAGGTGTGCGCCACCACACTCGGCTGATTTCTTTTTAAAAAATATTTCATTTAATAAAAAAAAATATTTTATTTATGCCAGGCATGGTGGTATATGCCTTTAATTCCAGCACTTGGGAGGCAGAGACAGGTGGAGCTCTGTGAGTTCAAGGCCAGCCTGGTCTACATAGTGAGTTCCAGGTTAGGTGGGGCTACAGGGAGATCCTGTCTCAAAAAGACCCCCCAAAATATATATGTATTTTTTTAGTTATTATTTTAATTTTATGTGTACAAGTGTATTGCCTGTGTGTATGTAAGTGTACCCATGTCCTCCAATGCCCAAGGAGGTAAGAGAGGGTGTCGGGTCCCCTGGAACTGGAATTATGAATGATTATTAGCCAACATGTGGGTGCTGGGAACTGAACCCAGGTCCTCTGCAAGAGCAGCCAGTGCTCTTAACCACTGAGTCGTCTCTCCAGCCTCTTAATTTCTTCTTTTATTGTATTAATTTTTAAGTTAGCTTACAAATAATAGGTTTCATGATGGCATTTTCCACATATATGTCATGTCCCTTGGACATTTAGATTTCTCCACATATTTTCTAATGCTTTATTTTTTTTATTTTATGTGTATGCGTGTATTGCCTGCATGTATGCAAGTGCACCCACATTGTGCAATGCCCTCAGAGGTCAGAAGAGGGCACTGAATTCCCCTGGAACTAGAGGTAGGGATGGTTCTTAGCTACCATGTGAGTACTGGGAATCAAAGCCAGGTCCTCTGCAAGAGCAGCCAGCACTCTTAACTGCTGAGCCATCTCTCCGGCCCCCACATCTTTTTTTTTTTGAGACATCTCCCTCTAGCCCCAGCTGGCCTGGAACTCACTATATAGACCAGGCTAGCCTTGAACTCATAGAAATCTGCCTTCCTCTGCCTCCTGAGTGCTGTGATTAAAGGCATATGCTACCATACCTGACCCCAGGTGCATATTATACACCCAGAAATATTTTTAACAGCCAACATCCACTGAACTTGTCCTGCATGCCAAGTACTGATTAGTATCACAGTATATGGATTATCTCTTAGAGTCCTCACAATCTCCTGACAGGGGCTGGTTTTTCAAAGGAAAGGAAACTAAAGCTCAGGGTACTTGCACAATGTTTTACAGGTAGTGAGCAGCAATGCCTATCAGAACTTTACACCTGATCTTTTTGAGATAGGGTCTTATATACTAGAATGGTCTGGAATATTCTATGTAGCCCAGTTGGCCTCCTTGGTGCTGGGATTAGACATGAGCCACTGTACCTTTCATAAGTACACTGACTAAACTGGGAATTAGAGTTAATTCTATGGAGGATCTAACATCAACTGAAAAGGAAAGATAATTTCCAGGCCCTTCAATGCTGTTTTTGAGCAGACCCCAATACTATGTGGGACTGTTTGTTACACAACAGTACAACACTGATGACTCACAATCACTCTGTTGACAATCATGACATTCAGATTTGGATATATGCCCCAGCCAGGCTCAAAAAAAAAAAATCTCAGATTAAGTGCAACCTGCCCCCCCTCAAATCCTCCACATTTTCTTATGCAACTATCTCCACTCTGAGAAGCTGAGGGTTGTTCAGGTGTAGTTGAAAACATCAGCATTAACAAATACTGACTGATTGCTGTGCAAAGGACAATTCCTGCTTTAAAAGACCATTTCAGTGTTTCTAGTGCCCATTTTGTACACAGCTGCCAATGACTCTTTAAAGTAAATCTGATGACTTCTCTGATCTCAATTCATGATATTCTATCACATCCTAGTGAAATCCAAAGTTGAACATGGTTTACCAAGCCATACTTGATCTGGACCCTGGCTGTGTTTTCCATTTTCATTTCCACCTGCCTCTGCCTTCCAAATGCTGGGATTAAAGGCGTGCACCAGGCTTCAGTCTTGTTTAGAATAGCTGAGTTCCACTTAGCTTCCTTTCTTACTGAATTTCTGTTTGTGTGCTTCCTCTGCTGTGAAGCCTTTCTCATCTATGTTGACTAAAGCAACATTTCTGCATCATCATTATCCCTTGATCCTGATTTATTTTTTCACAAAACCACATTGTGGGACATCTTCTGTAATTTAGTAATAGGTACACTGCTTGTTGTCAAACCACATGCAGACACATGCACACGCACACACAAACACACACACAAAACACACACACACTATAGCATGAATTCTATGAGCAAGAGAATTTGCTTTGCTCATCACCAAATTCTCAGTTACAAGAACAGTGTCCACTCACTAGGTATTTGTTGAATGAATGAATGAATAGCCATTGTAAAGGACCTTGCATTGACATAATAAATAGGAAAGTGTACAGAAGGGTATTTATTTAACATGGTGGGAGGTGACTTTCACATATGAATTTTTTTCTATTTTTCTTTTCTTTTTGGGGGGGTTGGGTGGGGGTAGGGTATCACTCTGGAGCCCAGGCTGGTTTCAAACTCATGGTAATCCTCCCGAAGTCTTCCGAGTTGTTGAGATTATAGGTGTAAGCCACTACATACAACTGCAAATTTTCTTTTTGGTTTCTCTTTAACAATGAACTTGTATTATTCGTGTACCAAGAAATGAGTAAAGGGGTTACACAGGCTGACAGTGTAAACGCATTCCAACAGGAGTTAGACAAATTTATAACAGTCTTTTAAATGGATAGAACAGCATCATGGTTAATATAAACTATGGTTGGAATCCCAATGCCTATTTTCCTCACCTGGAAAAATGGAGTAACAGTGTCTACCTCAGAAAGTTGTTTTAAATGACAGAATGTATAACCTGCTTTGTACAATGCCTGGCATGCAGTAAGTACTCACAAACGGCAGTTATTATAAGAATCACTACTAACAGTAGTAAGAGATATTGGGACATACCTAGCCCTCAAGATTGACATCAGAGTGGACCGCCACATCCTCATCACTGTACTTCCATTTGGGCAACTGAAGCCCAAAGAGGGGATGGTTGTTTCCAAAGACGGCAATTTCGAGGCCCCCGAAGCATCAGGATGCAGCGGACCCTCTTCACCCCTCAAGTCATTCGGTGTTAATCCACGAGCGGCACTGCAGGGGCCCAGACAGGAGGTGCTGCCACCGCTCGCCACCCTGGGGCCGGCGCCAGTTCAGCCTCAGTTTCCTTGCTTGCAACACGGCCGGGAGGGGGAACGTTACGGAAATCCAGACCGTCCCCGCGGGGTCCGCCTCACCGCACCAGCCAAGGACGCCCTAGGCGATCGTAAACGTGCTGGCAGGTCGGACCTCAGCGCCTGAAGCTCGGCCCTATCCTCTCGGACCCGGGTAACCACTGCCCGCTCACGCTGCCGAGGTGGGGCGGGGCAACGCGCCGTGCGAGAGCGCGCACGTCATCTGGGGCCGCGCGCGTAGGGTGGGGCGCGCACGCAGAGAGTCCGGGCTCCGCGCGGAGGTGGGAGACGTGGCGAGGTGAGGCGGGGGCCGGGCCCCTGGGGAGGGAGCGAGGGCCACGGAATAGCCGGGGCCTCGCGGGGAGGGGAGGGTGGAGCTGTTCGGCCGAGCCCTGAGTTCCCACCTCTGCGCGTGGGCGGTCCAGGGCGTCACAGCCTCAATGTGCTGGTCTCAGTAATGAAGCGCCTGAGCGCACCAGGGATTGCTGCTGTGTGTGCAGCCCCGACCCACCCAACCCAAGCAGGTCTAAACTGGATGGTGTAGCACCGTTTTAGGGCCGAGGCCTAGATAAAGTGACTTGCCCAAGATCATAAGACCGTGGATGCAAATCTGCAGAGCTCGCTCCTCCCCTCCGCTGCATGCGGGGTCCCGCCCCTCTGAGTACCTTCCTTGACCCCCTAGTCACTTAATTTGAATTTAGCCAAGTGACCCAGGGGAGCTAGCGCCTGCCCGCTCAAGTATGTTTGTCACAGCGTAGTCTTTTAAGAAAGCAAAGAAAGAAGAATTTGACTTAAGCAACATTGTGCTTTGTGACGTGAAGTGTTAGATTGTCTTTAGCATCTCTACAGTCTGTAAAGTTCTGATAAGGCACTGCTGTTCACTACCTGCTATTCAAACATTGTGCAAGTACCCTGAGCTTTAGTTTCCTTTCCTTTGAAAAAGCAGCCCGTGTCAGGAGATTGTGAGGACTCTAAAAGATAATGCATATACTGTGATACTGTTCAGTACTTGGCATGCAGGGCAAGGTCAGTGGATGTTAGGCTATTATTTTATTACTGGTTGTATAATATGCTCTTATGTTCTTTAAAAAATGCTTTTGTGTGTATGATTGTTATGCCTTTATGGATGTAAGTGTACCACGTGCATGCAATGCCAGGGAAGCCAGAAGAGGGTGCAGAATCCCCTGGAACTGGAGTTGCTAACGGTGGTTGTTAGCTGCCGTGTGGGTGATGGGAACTGAACCCTGGTCCTCTGCAAGAGCAGCCAGTGCTCTTAATCACTGAGCCTTCTCTCCTGCCCCCTTGTTAATTTTCTGTAAAAAATTTTTGGGGCTGGACAGCCTCATGTATCTCAGACTGATCTTGAATTTAGGTAGTCAGTAATTTTCTTGAACTCCTGATTTTCCCTGGCTGTACCTCCAGGGTGCTGTGATTACAGGTGTAGGCCACCGTGACTTGTTTATGCTGTGATGGGGGTTTAACCTAGGGCTTTCTGGATGCTAGGCAAGCACCCTACCAACTGAGCTATGTCCCCAGCTCACAAAATTCAATTTTTCTTCAAAGGCCAGGTTTTCTTGAAACTATACATAAGATAACTTACCCCCCACCCCACCCCAAAAGACCCAATCATCCACAGCATTTTTTTTTTTTCGGTCTTTGAGACAGGGTCTCCCTGTAACCCCAGCTGGCCTGGAACTCACTATGTAGACCAGGTTGGCCTTGAACTCGAAGAGATCCTCCTGCCTCTGCCTCCCAAGTGCTGGGATTAAAGGCATGCACCATCAAGCCTGGCCTACCCACAGCATTTTTATCTGAGTGTTACATAAACTTGGTGAATTATTCTCAAAGCTAAATATATCATAGTGAAAAAAGCCTTCCCAGGAGAACTGAGGATGAATCAGATTGTTCTAGAAGTAATATTTATTTGCCCAGATTTATGTGTGGTTTTGTTTTTTTGTTTTTTTCAGATAGCATCTCTGTGTAGTCCCAGCTGGCTTGGAACCTGCTATGTAGACCAGGCTGGCCTCAGTCTCACAGAGATCTGCCAGCCTCTGCCTGGTATTTTTAGACAAGGCCTCATGTAACCCAAGCTGACCTTGAACACATGATATAGCTGAGGATGGCCTTGAAGTCTCACTCCTCCTGCCACCACATACTCAGTGTTGGGATTGCAGGCCTGTGCCACCACACCTGGCTTGAGAGAGTAAATTACTGAAGAGCGTATGTTGAATAGGATGTCTTGGTTTCTAGTAATAAAAACTCAGCTTAAATTTTTGTTGTAAAGATGGAGAAATGAGGGAGGAACTATAGAATTGGGCCACCCTGGAGGTAGACTTCTCAATAGTCCGAGCTTTTGACCCAAATTCTTTGAATAGTGAATGACTGACATGCAACTACCATCTGTGCTATCTTACTGAAGATCCAAATTTATAAGGAGAAATCTGCTTTAACTTCTGTGGGCATGGAGGTTGCAGTATTGTGACACACTATCAGGGTCAGTGTACCAAAGTAAAGTGTACTAAAAATAATTGATGCTGGGGAGAGGAAGCCAATAGTTGTTTTCTTAGAAATTGGCAGCTCCTGCTTTAGCTTCCCCAGTTCAGGGATTATAGGATCTCTAGTTGGAGGCCAGCCTGGGCTACCACAGTGAAATTTTTGCTTCAAGAGCAAAAACCCAAAAAGAAAAATATGTACATACTATATGAATATACTTATTTTTCACAACTCTGAGGTAGACACTGTTGTATCATAGCCCCTTTCCAGAGGAGAAACAGATACATGGAGCTGAAGTAATTTACTCAGTATCACAAAATTGCGATGTGGCAGAGCTGAAGATGCTGCTTATCCTCTTGCCCCTTTGAATGTTTTTCTGATTGGCGTGTCACTTCTCTTTGTTCATAGGGGACCATTAATCTTTGGCATAGCTGCTGGCCACTTCTGAAATCCTGAAGAAGCTCGATACTAAGGAAGATCAAACAGCAGACTTGGCCGATTAGAGGATGGACCGTCTGGGTTCCTTCAGCAGTAAGTGCAGTGGGTGATCAAGTCTTGGGTGAAGATTAATAGCAAGCTAAAGTAGAAGCTGATCAAGGAAGCAAAGCATTTGAAGTCAAGTAATAATGTTCTGTGTATCTGAACCTGAAGGAATTAGGAGTATCAAATAGAAAAAAAATCAACCAATTTATTGATTGCCTACTGCACATAACGTAAATGTATCAACCCGAGTCTTAGACTAAAACCAAGCTGGCCAGAATATGACTCAACTATAATTAAACATTCTAAAAATATTTATCTTTAAAATAAGGTCTTTTTTTTTTTTTTGGTCTTTTTGAGACATGGTCTCTCTGTAGCCCTAGCTGTCCTGGAACTCACTATGTAGACCAGGCTGGCCTTGAACTTACAGAGATCTGCCTGCCTCTGCCTCCCGAGTGCTGGGCTTAAAGGCGTGCGCCACCACACCCGGCAGGTCTTCCTTTGTTAACCTCAGCTGGCCTGGAACTTCCTCTGTAGATCAGGCTGACCTTGATCTCACAGAGATCTGCCTGTCTCTGCCTCTCAAATGCTGGAATTAAAGGTATGTGTCACCATGCCTAGCCCTATAAGTAAGCAAGGTCTTATTTTATGTGTATGAGTATATTGTCTGCATGTGTGCACCCATGTCATGCAGTGCCCATGGAGGTCAGAAGAAGCCGTTGGATTTGTCTGGAACTGGAGTTATGGACAGTTGTTGGTTGCCATGTGGGTGCTGGGAACCAAATCTGGGTCCTCTGTAAGAGTAGCCAGTGCTCTTAAACGCTGCACCATTTCTCTAGCCCCTATTTATTTTATTTTGTTGTTACTTTTTTTTTAATATTTTTTATTTTTATTTTATGTGTATGTGTGTATTGTCTGCATGTAGGTAAGTGCACCTGTGTTGTGGAGTGCCCAAGGAGGACAGAAGAGGCTGTCAGATCCCCTGGAACTGGAGTTATAGACAGTTGTTAGCAGCCATGTGGGTGCTGGGATTCAAACCTGGGTCTTCTGCAAGAACAGTCAGTGTTCTTAACCACTGAGCCATCTCTCCAGCCCCGAGACAAGGTCTTAAAGTAGCTCAATCTGGCCTGGAACTGGCTATGTAGCTGAAGATGACCTGACCTTGAACTTCTGATCCTCCTGCCTGTACCTCCCAAGTTCTGAGATTACAGGCTTGCACCTTCATGCCTGGTTTATAGGGTGCTAGGGATTGAACATAGGGCTTCCTGCATGCTAGGTAAGTACTCACCCCCAGCTTCCTATAATTAAACTTTAAAAAGCAGTACAGTTGATTAGGAGGAATAATTTCTAATGTTCCTGTAACATGATAGGATTACTGTAACTGATAACAATTGTGTATTTCAAAATGACTCGTAGATAGGATTTTAAAAGTTCCCAAAACAAAAATGATAAATTACTGAAGTGATGGATATACCAGTTGCCCTGATCTCATCATTAGACATTGTATACATGTATTGAAATGTCACACTGTACCACCACATAAATGTGCATGAGCCGTATATATATCCGTATATCCCTGCATGGTCTGGAACTCAGAGATGCTGCCTCCTAAGTGGAATTTAAGGTATGTACCACCATACCTGGCTGAAAATATTTTTATTTAATAGAAAATAGTGAGATTTCTCTTTAGAACCAATAACACATTTCAGACATTTGGGCGGGGTGGCGGGGGCAGAGTTGAGACAGAGTCTCCCTGTAGCCTCACCTGCCTGGAACTTACTATGGAGACCAGGCTCACCTTGATCTCATAGATATCTACCTGCCTCTGCCTCCCAAGTGCTGGGAGCCACACCTGGCTTATGTTTCAGAAATCTTGATAAGAAATAATGCCAGTGGTAGAATAAAGCAAATACTCCCCTTGTTTTCCCTTTGAGTGAAGCGTGTGTCCTACAGGTACACCAAACTATAATAATAACAGAGAATTGTGGTGTATGTGTGAAGTAACTTCAAGAAGCCACAAGTTTGGAGAGTAAAATTACATTGCTCTGATTATGAAGACATTAGATTTGACAGAAATAGAAATCAAAAAATTAGGAATGGGAAGGTAGCGCCATGCTTATGGCATTTATTGCACAACCATGAGGAAAGACCTGAGTTCAGATCCCAGCGCCCTTGTAACAAGCTTGTTGTGGTCTGAACTATAACCCCAGTGCTGTGGGTGGCAAATACAGGAGGATCACTGCAACCTGCTAGCTGCCAGCCTAGCAGAAAAACTTCAGGTTCAGATGTAGGGAGAGACCCTCAAAGAAATAGAGAATGATATAACAGGACACCCATTGCCCTCCTGGCATACCACACACATACGTGAAATCACAAAGTAGATGTTCTTTAGTGTCCCAGTAAGCAACAAAGATATTCTTGAAGTTTTGTTTCTTTTTCATTTTCTTAAAAGTACTCTTAAGCCGCTGGGCATGGTAGCATACGCCTTTAATTTCTAACACTCTGGGGTTAGAGGCAGGTGGATCTCTGTGACATCCAGGCCAGCCTGGTCTACATAGTAAGTTCCAGGCTAGCTGAGGCTACAGGGAGACCCTGTCTTAAACCCCCACACCCTCCCCTCAAAAAAAAGTACTCTAGTTTGCTTTTTCATCTTGCTCCCTATATACATAGAGTCTTTGGACACATCTAATTCTATGCTTCTATTTTATACCTGGAGAAAGAATTTGAATTAATGGCTCTAAGCTACAAGTATAAACTGAAACTACTCCCATCATTTAAAAAATGATTGTTAAATATTTGAACTTTTTAAAAGTCATAAGGATAAGAATACAGCATGGCTGGTGAGGTGGCTCAGCAGGTAAAGGTGCTTGCCACTAAGCCTGATAACCTGAGTTCAATCCTCTGGAGGAGAGAACTGAGTCTCTCAGGTTGTTCTTTGCACCTCTCCATAGATGCACCGTGGCATGCCCCCTCAATAAGTAATTAAAAAGAATGTTTAGGGCTGGAGAGATGGCTCAGAGGTTAAGAACACTAGGTTGTTCTTGCAGAAGACCTGGTTTCGAATCCCAGCACCCACATGGCAGCTGACACCTGTCCGAAACTCCAGTTCCAGGGATCCTACAGCCTCTTCTGTCTTCCTTGGGCATTGCACGACACAGGTGCACTTACCTACATGCAGGCGATACATGTGTACACATAAAATAAAAATAATAAATATTTTTAAAAGTTTAAGGATTTTTTTTTTTTAAATTGTGTGTGTGCACACACCTGCATGATGCCACATATGTGTGGGTTTTCTCAGACCAGAAGAGAGTGTCAGGTACCCTGGAGCTGGGGTTAGAGGCAGTTTTGAGCCGCCCAACGTGGGTGCTGGAAACCAAACTCAGGTCTTCTGCAAGAGCAGTATGTGCTCTTAACTGATGAGCCATCTCTGTAGCCCTAATTAAAATTTTTTTGACTAAAATAATATAGCCAGGTGTGGTGGTTCCAGGCCTGCCTGAGCTACATATAACAAGATCTATATAACAAGATCTGGTCTCAGAACAAAATAAATTTAGGAAATACTCATATCTTGTGTAATTTGTGTTTTTCCTTTACATATTTTGTTACCCTTGGAGAGGTACTTTAATATTTAAAAAGATGCATTTCATCATTCCTTGTTTAAAATCTATTAGTAGTTTTTGTTTGATAATTCTTTTTTTTTTTTTAGGCAGGATCCCCCCAGTATTCCAGCTGGTCTGGAACTGTGTAGACCAGGCTGACCTTAATCTCACAGAGCCCTGCCCCTGCATGCCCTGTGCTGTGATTAAAGGTGTGCACCAGCTTACCTGACTTTGATAAGTCTTTTGTTTCTGTTTTTACAAAGTCTTATAGGTAGCCCAGGCTGGGTTCATTTGAATGTGTAGGAATCCTTCTGCCTTAGCATCCCAAGTGGTAGAATCAGTGAGAGCTGATCTAGTCAGTATTGTCATAGTTGTCAAAAAATGTGCTCCCTCTCTCTTTCCCTCACTCCTCCCTCCCCTCTCTTTCCCTCCCCACCCTCCATCTTTTTGTCAAAAGATGTATTTGGAGAAATTCTCTCTCTCTGTCTCTCTCTCTCTGTCTCTCTCTCTCTGTCTCTCTGTCTGTCTCTCTCCCTCTCTCTCTCTCTCTCTCTCTCTCTCTCTCTCTCTCTTCTCTCTCCTCTCTCTCCTCTCTCTCCTCTCTCTCCCTCACCATGTAACCCTAGCTGGTGGAACTCATCTGTGTGCCTCCAAATGCTGGGATAACAGGCTTGTGCACTCACACCTGACCTCGGATTTCTTTTCTCTTTCCAGTTCCCCCATCTGCTGCCCTTTGTAGCTTCCTACCTGCATTGTCTTCAGGTTTATGTGACCTTTATTTCTTTTTGCGAAGATGAGGACCTTTTCCTTCTGGTGTTTTGTTTTGTTTTTTAAGACAGGTTCTTACTCTGTAACTTAGGCTGGCCTCAACCTTGTAATCCTGTCTAAGCCTCCTAAGTGCCAGAATTACAGGTATGTACAGCTAGGTCCAGCACTTCTCCATAGATGTTCTTTTGTACTTTTGTTGTTTTCTCACTTAATTATACCTCCTGGAAATAACTATATTGGTTTATAGAGATTATTCTCTCTCTTTCTGTGCTACCAAATGAACTCAGGGCCTTAAAATGCTAGACAAGCTGTCTACACTGAGCTACATCCTGACTCTTTTTTTCTTGGTCTTTTTGAGACAGGGTCTCCCTGTAGCCCCAGCTAGCCTGGAACTCACTATGTAGACCAAGCTGGCCTTGATCTCATAGAGATTCGCCTGCCTCTGCCTCCTGAGTGCTGGGACTAAAGGTGTGGATCATCATGCCCAGCTATGACTCATTTTTTAAAAAATATTTTATTATTTTAATTTTATGTGTATCAGCGTATTGCCTGCATGTGAGTGCACCCGTGTCGTGCAATGCCGCAGAGGTCAGAAGAGGGCTTTGGATTCCCCTGGAACTGGAGTTACGGACAGTTTGCAGCCACCATGTGGGTGCTGGGAATTGAACCCAGGTTCTCTGCAAGAGCAGTCAGTGCTCTTAACCGCTGAGCCACCTCTCTAGCCCCATGACTCATTTTTTAAAATAATTGAATACTGCTCCATCATGTGACTGCACCATTAGTTTATTAAAATAGACTTCAGTGTTTGGACATTCAGTACCATTTTGTATTTACATATAATATTCCAAATGCTTTTGACATATATATATATATTTTATCGGAGATATAGATGAATTCCTAGAAGAGAGATTGCTGATACAAAGACAAAATGAGTCATAGTTTTGTTTAGATACTCCTAAGTTGTCCTCCACAGGAGCTGTACTGTTTGCCTTCCCACAGTAGTATATAAGTGCCTGTTTCCCTGCAGCCCTGCTAAAAGGTGTATTGTCAAGCTGGAGTTTTTTTTCTCTTCTGATAGTGAGAAATTATACATTATTGTAGGTTTAATTTTTATTTCTCATTATGAATAAAAGCGGACAATTTTCCATGTGTTTAAAAAGACCATTTTTATGTCTCCCCTTACCTACCTAATACAGCTTTTTATTTTGTTGTTGAGCTGAGTTCTTAATTATGTTACCCAAGCTGGTTTCAAGTTCAAGTCCTTAGGTTTAAATGAGCCTCCCAGCATCAACTTCGCAATTATAAGGACTCTAGGTGTGCACCACCATCCCTGGCTTTTTGTTTCAGGGGGTAGGGGCTGTTGATACAGGTTCTCAACAAACACATGAAACAAAGGCAAATAAATATCTTATCAGGCCAGCTGGAGCTATGGGGAGACACTCTCTCAAAATAAAAAGAAAACGATTTATTTATTTATTTTTATTATTTATTATTTTTATTTTAGGTGTATGAGTGTGTTGCTTGCATGTATGTGAGTGCACCTGTGTTGTGCAGTGCTGTGGAGGTCAGAAGAGGGCTTCAGATTTCCCTGGAACTGGAATTAAGGACAGTTCATAGCTGCCATGTGGGTGCTGGGAATCAAACCCGGGTCCTCTACAAGAGCAGTCAGTGCTCTTAACTGCTGAGCCCTCTCTCCAGCTCCTCATTTATTTATTTTATGTGTTTGTGTGTTTGCCTATGTGAATTTATATGCAACCACATGTGCAGAAACCCACAGAGGCCAGAAAAGGGCATGGGATCCCCTAGGACTGGAGTTTGAAGGCAATTGTGAACTGCCATATGGGTGCTGGGAATTCAGTCCATGTCCTCTGCAAGAGAATGAGTGCCCTTAACTACTGCTGAGCTATCTTTCTAGCTCCTGTTCCTAGTGTTTTTGTTGATATAATCATATTTATTGAATTTTTATTGCCTCTGAATTTTAACTTGTAAAATTCTAGATTGTAGAAAAATTCTGGAATTCCTTTCTGATGTGTGTATATGTCAGAAAGGTATTCCAGAATTTTTCTATAATCTAGAATACACACACACACACACACACATATATATATATATATATACATACATGCAACACACACACACACACACACACCCCAGAACTGGGCCTGCTTGGTGACTCAGCAGGTGGAGACCTGTCACCAAGCCTGATGGACTACCTGAGTTGGTTCCCTGGTACCCACATTGTGGAGGGAGAGAACTGACACCAGCAGGTTTGTCCTCTGACCTCCACATACTGTGGCACGTGCATACCCCTTCCCATACACACATAGGTGCAAAAGGGATAGATAAAATAATCAAAATCTCAAAACTAAAGTAGGATTTAAGTACAATATAGCTGTTCAGTGCTATGTTGTTCTCCCTCCTCAAACAGTGTTATTTCTTAACTATACCTATCTGCTAGACACCTGTAGTAGCCAGGGACGCTTGGTTTCATACATGTTTAAAAATAAAAACTCAAAACCCTTTATCAGTCCTCTAAATGCTCAGTTATTCTAGTTTTAGGAAAATATATGGAAGGAAAAATGTGAAATGTTGTACATACCAAAGATATTGATCACATAAGAAACTGTAAATGTTATATAAATGGCCGCTAGTGGGGAACTGGTTAGATTCATTCTAAACCCTGTTTCTTTTTGTTGTTGTTGTTGTTTTAAAAAAAAAAAAACAACTTTTTTTTTTTTCGGTCTTTTTGAGGCAGGCTCTCCCTGTAGCTCCAGCTGCCTGGAACTCACTCTGTAGACCAGCCAGGCTGGCTTTGAACTCACAGAGGATCCGCCTGCCTCTGCCTCCTGAGTGCTGGGATTAAAGGCATATGCCACCACGCCTGGCTTAAAAAAATATATTTTTTTTTATTTATTATTTTTTCTGTGTGAGTGTATTGCCTGCATGTGTGGAAGTGCACTGTGCCATGCAATGTCCAGGAGGTCAGAAGACTGTTGGATCCCCTGGATCTGGAGTTATAGATGGTTGTTAGCCCCTATGTGGGTGTGGGAATTGAACCTGGGTCCTCTGCAAGAGCAGCCAGAGATCTGTCTGCCTCTACCTCCCAAATGCTGGGATTAAAGACATGTGATAACATGCCCAGCTCTTTTTATAAAGTTTTGGTTTTTTGTTTTTTTTTTGGTCTTTTTGAGACAGTCTCCCTGTAGCCCCAGCTGACTGGGAACTCACTCTGTAGACCAGGCTGGCCTTGAACTCACAGAGATCCACCTGCTTCTGCCTCCCAAGTGCTGGGATTAAAGCCATGGGCCACCATGCTGGGCTTAAAGTCTCTTTTACTAATTGGAAATGGAATAAGTAGATTATATATACATATAAATTATTTCAAAAATAAAAATAGTGCCATAATAAAATAGAGGAATAATTCATAACAAGATAATACAATTTTTTTTCATCTTTTTATTGAGACAGGGTCTCCCTGTAACCCCAGCTGGCCTGGAACTTAATGTAGACCATTCTGGCCTGGAACTCACGGAGCTTTGTCTGCCTCAGCCTCCCAAGTGCTGGGATTAAAGGGATGTGCCACCACGCCTGGCTTGAAATAATACTATTTATAATAATGAGTAGATCAGTATGTTCTTAAGATATGATTATAGCCAGATATAATGACATACTTGTAATTCCAGCACTTGGGAGTGGCTGAAGCAGGAGGATTGACTCTAGTTCAAGGATTGACTGAGCTATAGAGGAAAACCCTGTCTCAAAAAGAAAGAGGGGTGGATACATATTAGCAACAGAAGTCATGATGACTTAAGCAAGCAATCAGCTGCTTAGACCCAGAGGTTGAATCACAGTATCTTACAATTACAAATGCAGGATGATTCAGGGTGTTAGTAACTAAGAAATGCCACAAGCCTCAGTAACTCCAGCTCAAGTTCTGAACAGAACAAAATATAGCCTTGAGAATTCTGTGCAATTAATTGTCATGCTAGAATATTCAGTTATATTAAAACTGTCAAAAATATTTTGCTTTGGGGCTTGACTATAGCTTAGTGGTTACTGCTCTAACCCTGCTTGACTAACATGCAGGAGGTCCTGTTTTTATATGTAATACAGAATTAGATCCTAGGTCATAGAGTTATGTTTGTCTTTCTTTTTCTTCTTTTCCAATCTAATTTAAATCTGAAATTGGAGCTCCCTCAATTTGATAAGTAAAAAGTTCAAGCTTGAAGAAAAATTGAAACAGCAGTACAGTGATTACTTGTGTGCCTGCTGCCTAGGTTGAGCTGTTATTAGTATTTTGTCTGGGCTTTGTGTGTTGTAGAGGAATGTGCCCATTTTTCTCCCCTGTAGCAAAATAGAGTGGGTTTTGTGAAACTTTAAAAGTTCTGCCTATAAGCTTCTCTGCAGGCACCATATCTGCCTAACTGCTTGGAACAATAGGTACACTGTAGGAAGGAGCAGAGCTTCCCTGGACTAGAGAAGAGGGTAATTCTTGTTCTTGTGTGTTTGGAATATGCTCATCTTGTTTCCGTGTATTTTTCAACACCCGGTTGCTAGGCATTTGCAGATTTTTACCTTTTTGCACTTCTGATAACATAAGGTGTCTTAAAGCAGCTGTGCTTGTTTTCTGTCTGTTCCAGGTGACCCCTCTGATAAGCCACCGTGCAGAGGCTGCTCCTCCTACCTCATGGAACCGTATATCAAGTGTGCTGAATGTGGGCCACCTCCTTTTTTCCTCTGTTTGCAGGTAATTCACTGAGGAGAGGCTTTCCTCTCCTAGCTTACTGTCATGAATACAGTAATGCAGAGATGGCTAGAGATATCTTGGGAGGATCTTACCTTTTGAAATCTATTCTTTCCAGTTAGCTTCTCTTTTATATTTTACCAGTAAGTTCAAAAACAGAGCAGATGGGTGAGACAGACTGTTTATTATTCCACAGAGTGTCTCAACTTCATGCTTTTCCAAGTAAATTTCAAGTATTGGGGTTATAGGAATCAGAACTGGCAGATTGCTCCATTTGATCACACTGTTTATTAAATCATTGGGGTGTTGTAATATTAGGACTAATACTAATTATAAGTGCTTGCTCTTTGCCAAGCGCTATTTTGAATACTTAATATGAATTACTCCTTAGATTATCACTACAGTCCTATGAAGTAATAAATACCTTGATTTTATAGAACAAAATTCAGTTAAAGAGAGGTTAAATAATTTGCTTGAGGTTACAAAGGAAATACCATGTTTTAACGAGATCTCAAAGACAATTGATTATAGGAAGCATTCAGGGACTGAGGAGATGGCTCCCTGGATAAAGTGTTTGCTATGTAAGCTTGAGAACCTAAATTTGTATCCCCTGCATCCATGTAAAACCTGGCTGTGGCTGGGCATGGTGGCACATGGCCTTTAATCCCAGCACTAGGCAGAGGCAGGCAGATCGCTCTGAGTTCAAGGCTAGCCTCATCTACATAGCGAGTTCCAGGTCAGCTTGAGCTACAGGGAAACCCTGTATCAAAAAAAAAGACAAAAACAAAACAAAACCTGGGTGTGATAGCATGCACCTTTACCCCAGTGCTGGGGGGGGCGGGGTGGAGGTGGAGATAGGAGGGTCCTGGTGGTTTCTTAGCTAACTGATCTAGCTGAAATGGCAAACTGTAGGTGCAATGAGAGACCATGTCTCAAAAAGTAAGGTGAAATTGGGCATGGTGGCACAGGCTTAGTACCAGCACTCGGAGGTAGAGTCAGGTGGATCTCTGAGTTCGAGGCCAGCCTGGTCTATATTATCAAGTCACAGAACAGCTAGGGTTACATGGTGAAACCGTGTTTCAAAACAACAAAAAACCCTTAAAATATAAGTTGGAAAGCAATGGTTGAATACTCCCAATGGTGACAGGCATTACACAGGCAAGTACACACACAAACACACACCACACACAGAAAAAAGAAAAAACAAAGCACTCCAATTCTAGAAGTGTTAAAATGGGAAAAAACTGCTTGATGAAAATGGGCTTAGTGGTGCTGTTCTATAATATCAGCACTTTGGGAGGATAAACAGTAGGAAACTAAGAGTCCCAAGGTCAACCAGGGTTACATAGAAAAACTTTTTTCAGTACACCAAAAAACAAACCCCCCAAAAAAGAACTCTCTAGAGCCGAGCACTCTAGGTTGGAAATGGTAGTCTATGAATGTAATTTCAGATTTTGTGAGGTAGAGGCAGGAAGATCAGGAATTCAAGGCCACCTTGGACTACATAGGGAGTTTAAGGCCAGCCTGAATTACATGAGACCATGTCTCAAACAAAACAGACACCCACACCACAAAACAAGAAAAAAGTAGAGTACACTCAAAACATCTTTTGTTTTTGTTTTGATTTTGTTTTTTCAAAGACATGATCTTTAAAGACAGATACATGGCCTTGAACTGGGTATGTATCTGAGGATGACCCTGAACTCCTGATTCTCCTGCCTCCATCCCTTAAGTGCTAGGGATGGAACCTAGGCCTTCGTGCATGCTAGACAAACCCTCTACCAACTGAGCTATATCCCTAGCCCTAAGAAAGCATTTTTTTAAAAACTTTATTTAATATGTATGAGTGTTATACCTGCTTGTGTATAAGTGCACCTTTGTCGTGCAATGCCTGTGAAGGCCAGAAGGGGCGTTGAATCCCCTGGAACTGGAGTTACAGATAGTTGTTAGCCGCCATGTGAGTGTTGGGATTCAAAGCTGGGTCTTCTGCAAGAGCAGGCAGCACTCTTAACTACTGAGCCATCTCTCCAGCCCCAGCATTTCTTTTAAATATTTTATTTATTATTTTTATTTTATATGTATGAGTATATTGCCTGCTTGTATGTAAATGCATCTGTGTCATGTAATTCCCACAGAAGTCAGAAGAGGATGTCAGATTTCCCTGGAACTGGTGTTGTGGACGGTGGTTAGCTGCCATGTGGGTGCTAGGAATTCAACCCAGGTCCTCTGCACAAGAGCCAGTACTCTTAACTGCTGAGCCAACTCCAGTGCCAGAAAGCATTTTTTAAAATTTTATTTATTATTTTTATTTTACATGTATGCATGTATTGCCTGCATATAGGTAATTGCACCTGTGTCATGCAATACCCTCAGAGGTCAGAAGAGGCTGTTGGATCTCCTGGGACTGGAGTTACGGACACTTGTTAGCTACCATGTGGGTGCTGGGATTCGAACCCAGGTCTTCTGCAAGAACAACCAGTGTTCTTAACTGCTGAGCCATCTCTCCATCCCAAAATATTTTTATTTATTTATTTATTTATTTGAAACAGGGTCTCCCTGTAGTCCCAGGCCTGGAACTCACTATATAGACCAGGCTGGCCTTGAACTCACAGGGATCGCCCTGCCTCTGCCTCCCGAGTGCTGAGATTAAAGGCGTGTGCCACCATGCCCGCATTTTTAAAGGGTAATTTGTTGAGAACTTATTCATGTATATAAAGGTGTTTTGATCAAATCCATGCCCACTCCCTCCCCTTCAACTCCTCCCATATCTCCCCATCACTTTTTTCTGATAACTTCATGTACTCTTCTTCTTTTGTTTATTTATTTATTTATTTTTATGGGACTTTGAGCTACTCTAACATTCCCCCCTCTGAAGAGGTAACCCTAAAATCTTTTAAGGATTAGATAAAAGCTCCCAAATATTTTCAACATTTTTGTCTCATCCTTTATCTATCATAACAAACCTACATAGACCTTCATCACTTGCTTAGGCTTTCTCATTTTTTCCTATTTTGGAAACTATCTCCATTCCCATATACTTTCAGCATCTTTTATATTCTCATTTTCTTTTTTTTTTCGGTCTTTTTGAGACAGGGTTTCCCTGTAGCCCCAGCTGGCCTGGAACTCACTATGTAGACCAGGCTGGCCTTGAACTCACAGAGATCCGCCTGCCTCTGCCTCCCAAGTGCTGGGATTAAAGGCATGTGCCACCACTCCTGGCTGTCTCATAATTAATTTTTTAAAAAAGAAAATGAGTGCTGGGTGTGGTGGCGCACGCCTTTAATCCCAGTACTTGGGAGGCAGAGGCAGGTGGATCTTTGTGAGTTCGAGGCCAGCCTGTTCTACATAGTGAGTTCCAGGACAGCTGGGGCTACAGGGAGACCCTGTAAGTGAACCTGTTTTGTGCAGTGCCTGCGAAGGTCAGAAGAGGGTATTGGCTGCCCTGGAACTGGAGTTTACAGATAATTGTTAGCCACCATGTGGGTGCTGGGAACCAAACCCAGATCCTCTGTTAAGAGCAGAGCAGCAAGTGCTCTTACTGCAGCTCTACAGCCCCTCATAAATCTGTGGGATTTGTTGTTGTACTGAGCTTACTTACCAAGATACCTGAGGTTGCTGAGGTGGATGTATGACCTGAGGGTATGCACACTGGAAAGCCTTTACCCAGCATGGGTCATGCCCAGAAAGCATTTTTAAAAGTAGCTTTTAAGGGGCTGGAGAGATGGCTCAGCAGTTAAGAACACTGGTTGTTCTTGCAGAAGACTCGGGTTGGGATTTCCAGCACTCACATGGCAGCTAACAACTGTCTGTAACTCCAGTTCCCCTCTTCTGTCTTCTGTGGGCATTGCATGACATGGGTGAACTTACCTACATGCAGCATAACACTCATATACATAAGATAAAAATTATAAATAAAATGTTTAAAAAAATACACACACATATATATATATAT